CCCCAAAACCCCAAAACCCCAAAACCCCAAAACCCCAAAACCCCGTTTGGAATTATAAAAATCATATAAATGCTAAGCAAAGGTTTGAAAATTGGATGGATCGGCACTGGAGTTATGGGAGCTCCCATGTGCGGACATCTCATGGATAAACTAGGACATCAGACTCTGGTCTACAATAGAACTAAGTCTAAGGCACAGAGCTTGTTTGACAGAGGAGCTAAGTACATGCAACCTCAAGAGATAGCAAGAGAAGCTGATTTTCTCTTCCTCATGCTAGGATATCCTCATGATGTTGAAGCTATGACTCTTGGACCAGATGGAGTTGTGCAGCATATGAAAGAAGGAGCCGTGCTTATAGATCACACCACTAGTTCTCCAAATCTAGCTGAGCAAATCCATGAGGAAGCTAAAAAGAGAGGGGTTGGATCTATAGATGCGCCAGTCTCAGGAGGAGATATTGGAGCTAAAAATGGAGAAGTTGTTGCTATGTGTGGAGGTGAAGAAGATGTATTCGAAAATACACTTCCCCTACTGGAAACATTTTCCAAGGCTGCAGAGCTAATGGGAGGACCAGGAAAAGGTCAGCATACCAAATGAGTGAACCAGATAATGATTGCATCTGCAATGGTTGGTCTTTCAGAAGCAATGGTTTATTCTCATAAAGCTGGCCTAGAAATAGCTCCATGGATTGAGCTTCTCAATGGAGGAGCAGCTGGAAATTTTTCTTTAGAAAGACTCGGACCAAGAATGTTGAAAAGAGACTTTGAACCTGGATTCTATGCTGAGCATTTTATAAAGGATTTAGGAATTGCTCTTGATGAAGCTAGAAAGATGGGTCTATCTCTTCCAGGTACTTCAAATGCTCACCAGTTATATCTTTCATTGGCTGCTAATGATGGAGGAAGAGATGGAACTCAGGCGATCCTAAAAGTTCATGAAAAGTTGAACAATGTCGAGCTACCTGCTCAAAAAACTGATCCCAAAGCCTAAAGATTCGGAGGCAAAATAATATCTTTAGTTTCAATTGCCTCACCTAAATTTGGGGTTTTGGGGTTTTGGGGTTTTGGGGTTTTGGGG